AAGCAGGGGCGTCAGAGGCTGCAAGACATCCTGTCTCACCCCGGGGAGGAGGGCGGGGGCCTTGCTCACACCTCCCCCAGCCAGACTTCCAGACTTTAGCGGTTGGGCCCCAGAGGCAGATCCCTTTAGCCGCCCCTTCCCCCCACCTTCCCACGGGATTTGCAAGCTTGATGCCCCTGCTGGAACTACGCACTCTGACCACAAAGGTCCTGGGGCCGGTTCTAGGCAGCCACCAGTTTACCTAGCAGCAAAGCCGTGCAGCCCGTGCTGGTGTTGGTGCGACTGTCAGGGCGTTCTCTATGGGAAAAGACGCCTGTGGCACGCACTTATACACCCTGCCATACGCCTGACAGCCCTCTTTCAGACAACCTTACTGTGATAGTGACAAGTCGCTAGGTTAGGGACAAAGGGGGGGTGTCTTCCCTAATGCCTGCGCTAAGTAAAAATTAGCTATCTATGCCACAATAATGGGGTTGGAAATCAATCAGGCACCCATTAGACACCTATGGGAAAATCCAGAACTGAGCATGCTCAGACACAAGCGCCCCACCCCCACCCCCTCAGGCCTGCATGAAGCAAACCTGGGCACATCCACCAGCAAGATGACATCACACAGGTGGGCTTAAATGCAGCCAATAAGGTCAGCCAATACCTTCAAGCAAGCCTGCCCAGCCTGAAGGGAGAAAAGCCTGCCACCGGAGGGCAGAGCCCCTTTGCTCTGCTTTTTCAGCTGTGCCTGGCAGGCGGAGGGTAGGACACGTGGCACTTGGACTGGGGGCCCGAGCTCCTTCTTAGGCCATTCTCTTGGCCCCTGGATTTCCTGTCCACACGCATGGTTTTGTGCTCCCGTTCCGGTTCTTTCCACATGTTTTTTGAGTTCAGCCATGAACCCCCTGCCCGGCTCCAGGACAGCCCTGTAGGGTTTCCTGACAGACGGTAATGCCTGCAACTTCCCTTTTCATCATGAAAGTCACATGGGTTGCAAACGCGCTTCTGCCGCGAAGCAAGAACTGAGGTACCCCAATCCAGAAACCTAACAATACCAGCCAAAAAATACAAGTCAAGCTCGTTAAACTTTTACTTACTGAATGCATGGTTACCATATGAAAATGACAACCTTACCTTTCTGGTTGTCAATGGTGAAAATTGGTCTGGAACATGCTCAGCGTTGTTCTAGTTCCTCCTCCTCCTCTCCCTTCCCTACCCCCCCTCCCCTCCCGCCCCTCTTCTCCCCTCCCTCCCCCTTCCCATCCCCTCCCCCTCCCCCCTCCAGTTCCCCCTCCTCTCCTTCCCTCTCCCCTTCCCCCTCCCCCTCCTCCTCTAAGTGGAGCAGCTCAAACCGCTGCCTTGACCCTCCCCTAAGAGCACTCACTGCCATCATGCCAGTTGGAGCCCTTTGTGACAGCCACTTTGCCAGTCCATCTCCCGAAGGGCCTTCCTCCTTTTGCTGCCGTTCTATTTTACCAAGCATGGTGTCCTCCAGGGACTGGCCTCGCCTCACATGTCCAAAGTATGCGAAACGACATCGTTGCCTCTAAGGAGTACTTCTCCAAGATAAACTCATTTGTCCTTTGGCAGTCCTCAGCCGTACTTTCAATATTCTGCACCAGCATCATAACTCAAATGCTTTAATTCTTCTTTGATCGTCCTTATTCAATGTCCAACTTTCACACGCAGATGCGGCAGTTGAAAATACCATGACTTGCGTATGGTGCACATTAGTCCTCAAAGTAACATCCTGGCTTTTCAACACTTGAAAGAGGTCTTTAGCAGATTGACCCAATACAATGTGTCACTTGATCTCTTGACTGCTGCTTTCCTGAGCATTGATTGTGGATCCAAGCAAGACACAGTCCTGGACAAGTTTAATGTTTCTCCATTTATCATGGTGTTATCTATCGGTCTAGTGACAATTTTTGTTTTCTTTACAGTGATCTTTATCAGCAAGTGCTCGAAGTCCTCCTCAATTTCAGCAAGCAAGGTTGCGTCATCTGCGTAGCACATGTTGTTACCAAGCCTTCCTCCAATCCGATGCCATGCTTTTCTCCATATAATCCAGCTTCTCTGATTACTTACTCAGTTTACAGATTGAATAAATTTGTGAGAGGATACAGCACAGGCACACATCATTCCTGATTTTGAACCCTGGTTCTGTTCACACAACTGTCTCTCGATCCAAATACAAGTTCCACATGAGCACAATGAAGTGTTCTAGAATTCCCATTTTTTTCACAAAGTTATCCATAGTTTGTTATGCTCCACACCATCAAATGCCTTGGCATAGTCAATAAGATACAAGTAAACATCTTTCTGGTATTCTCTGCTTTTAGCCAAGAACCATCTGATATCAGCTCTATAATATCCATTGTTCCATGTCCTCCTGAATCAGGCCCTGACCTCTGGCAATTCCCTGTCAATGTATTGTGATAACTGTGATGGCAACATAATGGTCTCCAGTAAAATTTTCCTTGCATGGGATATTAGCAATTTGAGCATTCTGTTGGGTCACTCTGTGGACTTGCAGGATGCCTGCCCCTCCCCCGAGAAGAATTTATTTCAAAGGATGATACTGAATCTGCAGCTTTCGTGAGAAGGATATATCTGACCAGAGCACACAGGAGCAGATGACCGGGGAGGAGGAGAGACTGGAGCACATCCTGGCTCATTATACTCTTGGAGGTCAACTGCTTAAAGGCTATCTGCCATCAAAAGCTGGCAGACAATCTAACTCTAAGTATAGCCCACTCTCTTCTCATAAAGATTGTTCCCTTAGAGAAGCACTCAAGGAAATCTAAGGTCAGGCCAACTCTGAGAAGACCAAAGTTAGGCTGTCATGTTGACTGTAGAGCCTACTCATCTTGTTATGAATC